CTCTAGTATGCTCAGAAAAATGAGGACATGAAAAGTGTCCTCATATTTCTACGCGTCCTGATATTGAAGACGTGTATTCACAAAATTGTCCTGATATATCATGAAAACAAACACACAAACACACACACACACACACACACAGCTCTTCTCAGCTCTACTAGACCTGAACAAATCTCTGCATCTCTTCAAACCGCCAGCCCTGAGGGGGTCTGGCAAATAAAATAAAAAAAAATGAGGCAGGCAAATCCCTTTTTAATGGGCCTTTAATGAGGGCTCAGCGCGGCCCGGTGGGCCAGGTGTGTGTGGGTTGTTTCGCTGTGTTTACAGCAGAAAAAAGGCAACAGGGCTGCTCCTGGAGCCTATAAATGAACGGGGGAAACTCTGAAGAGTGACGGGGGGCTGTTGTGATGATCAGAGTGTTGACTCACTCGAACCCTCTTACAAACAACTTTCCTAAATTTAAGCCTCTGTTAAACTTGCAGACGACCTGATTGAGTTCAGCTCGTTAAAGCCGGACCGGATTGATCGGTGATTGCGTGGTAATCCGATCGGGTTCGTTAGCCGCTCAGCTTTAAGGACTTCTTGTGGTGCGTGGGCTCGGCGTCAGCTCTGCGTTTCATTTTCGGATCAGAGGCAGTTTTTCATACCCTGAATGAATTGAGCTTCAGGTAATTGGCTGGTTATAGACTGAGAGAGGGATGCTGGAGAGATTCTGGCACATCGTGTGTTTTAAAGTGGATGAATTAAACTTTCTAAAGGCATTATCAGATAATATACCAAAAAAAGACTGACACACACAGCACAGTCTAAGCATTAAACATGACTGTGAGCATTAAGCTGTTAAACTACAGCAGCATAAAGTAAGAATGTAAACCTTAAAACTCTTTGTTTCCACATTACATTTCAGATCCAAGCAGACGTCTTTATGGCAGTTAACCACAAAATATCCAGATTAAAATGTTAATTATCTGTGTGAATCCCCAACATAGAAAAGTGGGAAATAAGTAAGCTCTTTTCATCATAAAGGATAATTGAACTTAATGTTTTTTTAAGGAAATGGAGACGAAATGAACCAAATATCATCTGCAGCCTGACTAACAAACAGACACTGTTGGGTGTCCAAATCCATCCAAAATCTCTGTATGTTTCAGATTTGATTTCATCGAATCTGATGAAGAGATTCTGATGCAAACTTGATGTAACCTGAAAATACAGCCAACACACAGACTGGCGAATGAAAGGTTTTAAAGGAAGAAAGAGAACATATCTATTTGATTTTTACAAAGGAAAA